GAGTTGTGTACCTCAGGCTTTTCTTTCCTTATTTCTGTGCCAATGTTCTTTTTGATTGCTTGAGTGCCATATGGTATTATGGCCCTTTTATCTTTTTTATAACTATAACCTGCAGGCAGTTGCATCTGAGCTCCTGATCCCTGACCACAGCTTCTCCTAAACCTCTGTGAAGCATCAAAAAGATTTAACAAAAGGCCAAAGAAATGAATGATTTTTTTGTTGTTGTTAAAGGATCTTAGTTGACTGTCCAGGTTATCACCGCACTCATAAATGAAAAATGTATTTATTGAATTTTGTCTGGTCCCTTGGGCTCCTTATACAGTAAAAAATGTCCTCTGGATCAGACCACCGTGGTAGGCTTTCAATTGAAGATCATTGATTCCAGCAACTCTCTCAGGTTCAATAATCTCAGTTTAGCTGTAGTCATTCTCTTTATTTTGTTATATCCAGCAGCACATACTGTACTGTGGTGCTTTTCAAGTTGAACTTGATGTGAACTCAGGGGTGATATCCTGCTTCTTCCAGGTGGAATTCTATTTGAAATAGTGAAATTCCAGTAAATGTGAATTATTATCTATGTTGGGACTTTCAAAACTAATGTTCAGTAGTTTTCCTGCATTCTTCAGTCATTAATAACAGAGAATGCAAGTGCTATCAATGGTCCAATTTGTTATGACTCTGTGACATTGACTATTTTTGATTACCACCTGACAACTTTGTGCCACTGAGCGGTTTTGGGCTGAAGTGCTATCTTCAAGTGCAAGGCTTGTTTTACTACAGATATCTGAGAACAGTGTAACAGCCACAGTGTTTAATTGTCTCATGCCAGCTGAATCCAGTTCTGATTTCAGAACTCTTGCTCCATAGCTGAACTTCAAGTGGGGCTCAGCAGTGGCTCGGTGTGATCAGAGTTGTCCCTCGCCTCCCTGGGGCTGTTTTGCTGACATCCCTGCTCTGCTGGCTGAGTGGTCAAAGGATCAAAGTCCATACAACTGCAATTCTTTGTAAATCCTGGATATGGACATATATATGGGTCCATTTTTTTTTTCCAAAAATGCCTCTCTGAGAGATGTTTTGAATTGTAATGACTAACAAGTACAGGCAGTTTGGGATGACTGATGAAATATTAGCTAGACTTGCCCATCATATGTTATACCTGTTTGAACCGCCTGTCTATTCCAGCCATAAGTTGGAATACAGTTTGTTTTGCCTCCAAATATTCAACTTAAAATGCACTATGGACTGCAGCAATTAAGGAATCTGGCAGCTTAGACACCGGTGTGATGGGGTCAGGAATGAGCTGATGTTAGTTGGGTCCCCATTTGAGTGCTTGATCCCACTTCTGCTGGTTTGCACCCTCACCACCCAAGGCTACCTTGAGAATTATCATTTTAAGAAGTCTGGATGCCCCAGAGATGGTTGCACTGAAGGGAAAATTTTATGTTAATGAAAAATATGCTTTTAAAATACTTTCCCATTGTATTTCATGTTGGAACATTCTGCACTGGAGTAAAAATGAAAATAGATATATTATTCTTACTCTAATCCTTCCATATATTGCAAGGATTCTCTTGCTTTTTCTACTTGTTCTTGGATTTTATTTATAAAACTCTCATAGCAAGGTACCACAATAAAACATGCTCCAGCTGACAACAATCTCTTTCTCACTATTATTAGAGATTTTCTCTGATATGTTGAACTTTGACAAGACTATAACTGGATAATACTTGTGACATTTCATTCTTCATTTAGAAAAAGAAACAGAAGAGAAAGGGGACCAGGTAATTATTTTATCATGTGCATTGAAAAAATACATATTTTTACATGAGAGGCCCTCTTGTCTGACTTTCTGCTTTGTATTATCAGAAGCATTGAATAATTTCCCTAGCTTTCCTCTTACAAGGCATTCTTGTTTTCTTGTTTAGGCCATCCTTGAATGGTTGATTGGAGATTCATCTCGCCTGGTATTAGGCCAGTTTTAATGCTGTATGTCAGGGCAAGTGTCTCAACTTGCATGATATAAACTTTGTGAAACCAGGTATTTCAAGACACCAAAGCACTTTCATGCTGCAAAGTTCTTTTCAGTTAATGACAATTCTCTCTTTGCTTCCTTTTTTGAACCTTCACTAGACACCAAGTATAAATAAATCTCTTAACTGAGGCTTATAATGTGGTGGTGACCAAAGATAAGAGAGGCAGCTTTGAGGCTTTGAGTCCATCCCGTGTGTGCCTGGTGATCTGAATGCAGTGTGGACTGTATGCTGAAATGGAAGAGACCTAACAAAACTTGTGTTACTTGTTCCACAGAATGGTTTAAATCAGTCCTGGAGTTTTTTCTTTGTCTGATCTAAAGGGATAGTATCACGATGATTTCTTTGATTATTCTAATACTGTGCGTTTCTCTGGAGAAGTGACTTTTCCAGACATTTCCTAGGCATTTCCACTAGTATTTTCTTTTTCAAAGCACACTTACTCCAATGGATGAAAACCTGCTCTGCATTGCAGTTACTACCATAACTTTAAGTAGTTTGATTCCAAATGTTATCAGGAAAAACATCCTTTCCAACCTTAAATTTGATTTCATGAAATGGCTGAAGTCTTCATTTTATTGTCAGCAGTAAGCAGCCTTCACGTACTTCGGGCCACAGTAATTCTTCCAGAAAACAAAAGTAAATGTACAACAAGATATATTATAGTGTAATTATCTACAGTCATTTAAAAAGAATAAAATAAAAATGAGCTGCACCTTTTGTATCAGGTTCACTGAACTAAAGCTAGTGCTGGGGTATTCATGGTGCATAGACAGGACAGTGTTAATGCGTCTGTGCAGGCAGTTCTATACATCTATCTGTCTGGATATATGATCATGAGCTGAAGATTGTTTATTGTCAAAGGCTGAGTGGCTAATAAATGCTGGCAATGGCTTGGATTCACTGGAATGCTGCACAGCTGCGGCATTAGTCAGACTTTCCTTTTCAGAATTCTGTAATCCCTTCAATATTGCATTAAATATGTTTTCAATATTTATCTGGATAAAAATGTGCTGAATATTGCAACTGTTTAATTCTGATGTTTGTCACGTAGGAAATCTATGTAAGGCAGAAGGTAACAACATTTTTATTGCTAAAACCTAAGGCAGCTGCTTCTTGGGTTGTTTGCTCACTTGGAGCCTTGTGCCTGGGCTATTTACAGCCCTTGGTAAGCCTTTGCGATCGCTCAGAGGTGGAGGCATGTCAGAACTTCTGAAGCCAATTTCAGGCCTTAGTGCTTGGCTGAACTCACTGAACTGACCCATCACCCTACACAAGAATCGGAGTTCCTATAGATTTCAGTGTCAGTAGAATTTAGTAGATGGATTTTGGATTTGTTATACTTCATAGACCAACAACTTGACGAGCCAGGAGTCAGAAGGTTTATTAATATGTCACTGTATTTTTATTAGTTTTCCTAAATGATTAGCCAGTCTATTGTTAGCTGATGTATTGTCTCTCTCCAATTTTTATCTATGAACCAGATTATTTGGATAACAGTGATTGCAATTAATGATGTGGGAGCAAGGAAATATGCTCCCCTTATGTTGTGGGTTCAGAATTAAGACAGGGAATCCAAACTCATACAGTTCCAGTTAACCACATGGTCTAATGCAGTCCTGGCGATGCTGAAGCTCACTGTGTCCATGTGTTTCCACAAACAATTACTTTCCCAGCCGCTGTTAAAAAAAAAGTAAAGGAAAGCTCACCAAGTGGAATGGTTTGTAGGCACAAAAGATAACCTGTTGCTTCTTGGGATGATTGCTTTAGACATTAGTCTGACCTGGAAACAAGTGGGCTGAAGGCATTAGGAATAGGGAAGGTCATTAAAAGATCATATTCATATTCAAAGTATTTTTGTTGGGTTTTGTTTTGGTTTGGTTTTTGTGTTTTTTTTCCCCCAGCTGTGTTAGTAGTAGCTTGATCAGACTTAAGTAAAAAGCCTATTGAATCCATTAGCTGTAGGTCACTGATTCAGGCAGATTAACAGTAGCAGAAATATGCATTATGTGAAGGATGAATTGCTGGTGTCTGCCTAACTACTCCTGGTCTTCTCCTGGCAGTTAAATCTGATGTCAGTCACTTCTTGGCAGTCACAGTGGCACCAGCGAGTGAGTGGGTCATGGAGACTAAACCATCCATTCATCCTGAAGTCGTCCCTTAAGGAAAAAGTGGGAGTGTGTTGGGGAAGCTTGAAAGAAAGTTGCTCCCATTCTATGGAAGTGTAGAAAGCTTCAGGAACCAGAACTGCTAACACCTTTTGGGGCATAAAAAAGCTCATGTTTGACTGAACTTCTGCAAGCATACATTGAAACAAGAAGCCTAGCATTAAGTTGAAATGACTAAATAATAGTCTGGAACATGAATTTGCATTGTTTTGTCACATTATCTGTTGATGATAAAAGTCTTTTCATCTAGTCTCTTGACAGTGACTCATTGGCGAAACATTTTAAGTGATTCAAATAAACAGAAAAATCAAATACTGGTTTCTTTGTTCATGAAGAAACCCACAAAAAAAAAAAAAAAAAAAAAGATGAAAAGCACATAAACCTTCTCTGTGTTTGAATTTTGACTTACCAGTATTTTCTAGTTCAAAAAGAAGTTTCTCATCCCATGCCACTTTACAAAACATTGATAGACAGTGTATCTCACCTATCCAGCCTGTGATCTATATCTGGTATTATAAACAAAACAGTGATTTTTTTTCTAGTGGTAATACCTCAAAAAGCAACGAACCCCATCCTTTTACAGGCACTGCATATTCCTTCGAAGGAGAAGATTGGCAGCTTGCAGAAGATCTGCTCAGAGTAGTAAAAATGTATAGATATTTTATTATACTCTTACAGAGTTGAAAGTCACAGTACAGTGAGTTTAACACTTTTCTGTTTTGGAAGAATAAATTGCACATCAGGGGTTTTCGTGTTTTTTTGGTTATGTGATTTGATTGTTTGTTTGTTTGTTTGTTTCAAGATTGGTGTAAAGAAGAACAAAGAGAAATCCAGGAAACGGAGACTCTCAGGTAAATGTCAGGTGAGCATGACTACATGTTGGTGACTTACCTTTGCCATAGCATGGGCTGTGTCTGATCAAATAGAAAACTGGAAGATGTAATGAGTAATTATAATAATTATGAAAGTAAGGTACGTAGAAACATTGAGTAATACACACATTGCCTCCCACCCCTGGCAGTTCCCCTATGCTGTCGTCACAGTTACAGCTTAGAGAGTGACTTCTGCATCACTGTCCCCTCTGGTAGCGTCACAGACCCTAATCCACATGGACTATTTTGCTGCCATGTCACATTTAGTTAATTGGTTTTTGACTGTCACACCACAGCTGCTTTTGATATTGCCCAACCAACATTTTTCTCACTCAGCAAACATGTTTTGCATTATGTTTTCTCCAGATCAACAGGCATTCATTTTTCTATCAGATGAAACTTTCAGCCCCTAGTCTCAAGTGCTGTAGGCTCCTCTCTCTCAGCTCTTGTTTTCTGGCTGCATAATATTTTTCCAATCAAATGTTGCTTCCGGCCTTTATTCAGAAGCTGAGTGGAAATCACTGTGAGATATATGAAATGAAGTTTAGGTTATTACTAAGTATTGTAGCTTTTCTTAAGGCATCTCTTCCCTTCCCCATACAAATTTATGTGCTAATATTAATCATTATCGTTTGTTTATGGTCAAGGAGACGCTGACCTCCCCTGGGATTTACAGTCCTTGTCTCAAACAGCCTGTTTTATTTGGCTCAGAGTGCTGTTTTTCTATCTGTGCTGCTATTGTGTGGCTCTTTCAGCACGTACCGACTCTGTGTGAGCATAGCAGGGGCTGGGAGGGCAGCTCACTTGACCCCAGAATGCTCTATGGACCTGGGAAGGAGCAGTCTGCACCCGCTGCCACCTCAGCGTGGCCATGAGGGTGCCCTTTGGAGACTGCTGAACACGCTCAGGCAGATCACATCACATCACACGGCTTTGACCTCAGCTGAGGAGCCCACCAATTATTTAGTTGTGGAAAAATGTTGCACAAGAATAACATGAAGGAATTGTATGACACAAAAATGCTATTATTCAAAGATAGGTATCTGCAATGTTTTTGTTCGGTTTGGGGCCACTTTCACAGATACACAAAGCAGCTGGTCTGCACCTGGTTTGTATCTAAAAAGCCCTTTGCTCATGAATAACTACATGGCTAAAAATAACACTGCAGGTCTAATCTACTTATAAAACCTCAACTTCGCTATGGGTGCCTTGGAATGAGGGATGAAGCAATTTTGTCAAGTTTTAATGAAGAATGATTTTCTATTTACATTATTAAAAGCGGAGTATAAGGCCAAGAATGTATATAGACAGACGTTGTTTGAGGGGTTTGAAAACACAATTCCATGTTTATTTTTCTGTCTGGACCGTGGCTGATAATCCCACCAATCAGTCGGCTGTTGGGCTTGAAACAGTAGCTGTTGTTATGGCTGATCTAGAGCTTCAATAACTAGATTCAAGTTACGATTAAGAAAAACCAGAAGATGTCTAATAGCACAAAGAAGGTTCCATGGAAACAAAACCATTTGGGTTAGATACTGTTTTTATAGTGTCTTATTTTTGGGATTGGGTGTCTTCTGTTCTTCATGAAAGAGAAGTGACAGGTTTACAGTCACTGTACACAATAATGTGGTCCTTCAACTGTTCTATTTTCTAAGAACACTGTCAAAAATGAAATGCATTTCTTTTGTAGCCCACCTGCTTTATTTAAAATACTGATTGCAATTTTGTTCTTTCTGGTTTTTGTGGTTTTGTTTGTTTTTTTCCCCACAATCCTCAAAAACATCTCTTCCATCCCAGGTATGAGAAGGAAATCATGACTACTTGCCACTGGACCTAAGCAGAGTTCTTTAAGAGGAAAACTACATTTTACTTAGGAGAATAACATCATGTGGCAGGGCTATGACAACAATAACACCTCTACTGCCAGAAAACACTTAACCTGGGTGGCTCAGATGGTCCCAAATATTTAAGAGCATTTTTCTTATACTGTAAATTCCCTGTGGTACATTATTTTCTACTGAGAGCTAATAACTACCCTGTCTGTAAAGTAACTGGTCTTAAGTTTATTAGCTTGCAAGACAGAAAAATAACAGGCACATATCACTGACATTTAACAAAGATATCTTTCATGGGTTTCTGCATTTTTTTCTCATGCACCACACGTTTCTCTTTAGTTAGAAAAACATATTTCGAATCACAGTCTGAGTAACTTGTTACGAAGCAAAGCACATTTTCCAAACACTCCTTAATGCTTCATCAAATACCTGAGTCCCTTTTCAGAAAGTTCTGAAGATTTTTGCAAAAGAAATAATATGTCAGCTTCCCCCATGAAAGCTGTTTCACCCTTGCTGCAGCAGCCATATTATTTTCCTTGGATGGGAGACCATCATCCTGTTCCTGCACTGAAGTGGAAATGGTTGCACAAACGACTTTCGTCTGAAAGCGACTTCTTCAGACAACATAAATCCCCTTCCTGGCTTCTTTAAATGCATGATATTAGTCTATTCCTTTGGAGTTGGGAGGTGTGGGTCACAAGAAGGTGATGCACATGATAATTCTAGATTAAAGATGTATGTCCTGGTGGTTAAACAGAAGAGCTGTCCACCAACTGGGAGGTGATGCATGCAGGAGGTGGTCCAGTCAAACGTGAGTATTTTTGTTCTGGAAGGAGCCCACTTTCAGTCAATATTTGTAGTCAGAGTATAGTGAGGCTTTTTAAGGTGATAAAGCCCACTCTCAACTCCTGTATTTTTTTTGTAGCCAAATCTGTACAAATTAACTGTCCCTAAGTGTCACTGTTGCTGGCTTGCTCTTAGAAAGACTGCATCCTCTTATAATAACAGCAAGCCACAATGTGAACTCACCAAGGTGACAGTAAACAGTAGGTACCATGGAAAAAATGGAGGGAAAAGTGTGGCATGTTTGGTGAAAGTATTTCTATTCTAAACTGGCCTCTACTATTTTTGGAATGTGATTTTTGGTGGGCAAGAAGAATTCAAAAAATTGCTCCTCCCAAATGACTCAGCTTTTGAGCTGAACCATGTGGAGCTTAAAAAGCTGAAGATGAGTGTTGTGAAAGTCCTCCTTGAAGGCCTGGCACTCTACTGGAGTCATGGAAAATGTCTCATTAGCTTTAACAAGAACGGGAACAGGCCTGGGATAAGTCCATGGAGAAGTCCAAATACCAGTTGTCCTGGCTAGAAATAAGAAAAATTCAAAAGAGAACAATAGTTGTGTGTCCTGGAATGTCAATAGTAACAGCATGGACTGCAATCCCAAACTCTCAGTAAGATGAAAAGCAGAGGGTTTAATTTTCTCTTTCTGTGACCCAAACACACACAACGTTGCCCAAACCCCTGCCTGGGTGGTATCTTAGAGGACAAGAAACTGGGATAAAAAAAATCAGGAATTATCCAAGCTTCACACTACAGAGAAGCTATTATGTCTAGGACAAAAGATGGGGACTGCTCATGTTTTATAGTCAAACAGTTTCACATGACTTACAAGGAAGGTGTATAATTCTCTCTTTATTGTCTCACCTACTTAAAGGTGCACAAAAGCACAGTGTTTTATTATCACAGTGGCAGTGGGGCTTCAGCTGTGAGCTGATGGAATCAATGTGTCTGCATCATCCACAAGAAGAGTCTGCATTTGACAGAGAGTTTTCCTTCTTCCTCACCCTCTTCTCCAAAACTTTGACATGTCAAAATGTTTTTTGTTTGTTTTTTTTTTCTGGTTGAGTGGCTGTTGCTAATTTGGATAGAAATTATTTGGCTGCCATACTTGTGGAAAAAAGCATAGAACATTGGGAAACGTTTGCAAAATGTGGATAGTACAACCCTGGGTTTTATTTGGAGAGTTTCCCAGGCATTGCAGAAATGAAAGCATAACGCTTTTGAATCTTGAATTTGGAATAAAATGGCTTTTATAGAGCTATTTCCAAGTACCACATCTAGAATTTAGCATTCACGGTGCTGAGAAAAATTTGCTTGTCCCTTACAATCTGCCACTGGAGCAAAGGTTCCAAATGGAAAAAAAAAAAAGGCTTTCTGAGATGTTGTGAATATTCATGTGAGAAATGCAAACTAGGATTCCATGTAGGATTAACACTCTGAAAGTGTTCCAAGAAGCATTATGGGAGGCAGCCTTATAGGATACATTTACACATTGTTTAATTTGTTGTCAGATAACACAGCAGATCCAGTATTTCCCTTGGTTTGGGTTATTTTGTGACTACACCAGTTTCAGGCTTTAGAATATCTTGTGTCACAGATTCTGTTTTATCTTAAAACCAGCAAGGACTGTGGTAATGCAAACTGTTGTCACTGCTGCTGTTTATAGTATTTTATCTCCGAACATGACCCTTAAATTAAGAATTGCTGTCTGAGAGAACCCAAGCACAAGTATTTACATATTTAAACATTTCATATAAGGTCATGTTGGACATTGAAAGCCTTTGTATCCTTTTTTTCATGGAGAATGATAACAGCAGGAAAACAACAGTGCCTGCAAAACAGGGTGGAGATGTGTTCCCAGGTTCATGCATATCTTGTCCCTGTCCACTTTGCAGCAGTTACTTCAGTCAGTGGAGGGTTTCTTTCTCTAGCACTGTAGACTCATTTCCATCCAGCTCCTGACTCTGTGGCAGATGATGACAGGAGGAGAGAAAGCATATTTGGGGGTGTAATGCTTCTGCTCGACTTTTTTTCCAGTTTCCCAAGTATTTCCCTCTTTGTGGTTTTTCATATGCTTTCAATAATAATTTTGACGGTCTATTGATTTGGAATTAAATGTAACTGGTGCTATTTCCAGAGTACTTTGAGACTGTGGTGCCAAGTTCCTTCTGCTTTATGTAGTCACTAAATGAACACAGAGAAGTTTGCATCCTTTGGCCCACTCAGGCAGCAGTAAGGTCAACACAGCTGTGACAGCTGAGGAGGAGAAGGTTTCAGAAATAGCTTAAAATCTGTGGAGCTTCTTTCCAAAGCCA